ATTATATATATATATATATATATATAATGAAATAAGTAGCTTCAATACTATTAATTACATTAATTGTTAATAGCCGATTAAAATCAGCACTATAAAACAATAATGAACTTAATATAAAATAAGATTAAGAAGATTTTAGTAAAAGAATCTATTGTCAGTCCTAGTTGTCACCTTAAAGCTTTATATATATATGAACATTATATTAGTTTATGGAGTACAAAGATAAAGATAATGTATTAAAATTATATTCACTTGAGGGAAAGCTATCGGGAAGATTGCATTCCCTCATGTAAAGCTGCATTTCCTCATGAATTGTTTTTTTATTTTAATCCATGCAATATGTTCACTTTCATTGGTCATAACTAAAGTAATATGGATGGACCATGCATTCCCAATCAAGAAAGCCAACTAAAGTAATTTCCTTGGGAATGCAGAAATTTAATATTTTGATCCATGGAGCTTTAATGAAAATTGTCATTTTGGCAGATTTACCATAGTGCGTGAGGATTAAAAAATGCTACAAATACTTTTGATTTTCAGACTATAATATTTATATAATTAAGCTTCTGTCATATATGACCAATATATATGAGCAGTGGCCATATTTACAGCAGCTGTAAAGTGATTTCATTGACTATATTTACACAATTACTGCTATGGATGTGCAACCTTGCATTTTTGAACTGTATTTTCAAGTCTTGATCACATTTCATTTGAACCATAGATTACATCTGTAGGCATTCACACTTAATTATCTTGAATAATTGTACATGTTATAAATTTATTCTGATATCATGTATTAAATATTGTGCTGAGCCAATAACAAGGTTGGAAAGTATCTGAACTACCACCATAACATCTTTTCTCTAACAGTTATGTTATCTGTACATGCATGGTGTTAATGGTGTAATAGTTATTGAAGCTGTGTTAAAATTTGCATAAATATAACTGCAGTCAAAAGATAAATGTGTATTAACTACTGTGACGAAGACTTTTTTACCACAGTACATACAAAGTATTCTACATGTTGTGCTTTTAAACCCCATTGAATGATGTTAAAATTATAAAATACATGAACAAACACATATAAAGAGCTTAAATGCAACAAAATGTGGCATGTGTCATTCCTGGCAATATTGATCAACCAACGGCAATGTATTGATTGTATTCACTGTTTAAAAAAAATTAAAAATCCCAAAAATTTTATTCTACTTTTGTGTGTGTGTTTTGTGGAAAGGGGAAGGGGTAATTATATTTTTAAGAAGGACAAATAATTTTCTCTAGCATTTGACCTTTGGATCAGAAATGTTTTTAAAATTTTTTTAACTCTAACCAGATTATTTTTTTCATAACAAAAGAGAGAATTTTACTTAGAAATACAACAATGTATCATCACAATCATAAACAAGTACATTAAAACTGTGACTTTTTTTTTCTAGGATGTTCGAGTGGACAAGCTTATAAAGCCTGGGGTACGAGTAACAGTAAAGATGGAACTCGACAAAATGAGTAAGCTAATAAAAACCATTATTAGACTAAATAATTAGAATTTCAGTGACACTTGTATCCAGTATAAAAAATAATGCTAAATGTTTGGTTATTGTTCACAGTATAAGTAAAAATAAAGCAAGTAAAAAATATACAAAAAGTCACCAGTTTTTAGAAACATAAAACATTTTCTTATCTGTTGATAATCTTTTATCCAATATATCTTAATGTGTGTGATTTTTCTTGTAATTCATTTTAGGGTTATGAAAAAATGTTAATTCAAACCTGTGGCTTATTTACAGAAAATGACATCGTAATTTAGGAAAAATTAATACTTAGTGTTCCAGATTTGCAAAATTATAAAAATAAAATTTACTTATACTCAGAGTAAATTTAGTACACTTTTTAAACTTAGACATTTTGAAAAACAATTTTGTACTGAAAATTCTTCTATTCAAGGCTTCTCATTCCTACCTCAAACTTGTTTCATTTCAGATAATGACCTGATATGCTCATTTTCAAATAAATAAAAGGTTTTTCTTTGAAATCATGAAAATGTACTAAATTCAAGATTTAATTTTTAAATCATTTGCATCTCCTTTGTACACCATATGGTTTAATTCTACCATGCCAGTTGCTGTGATTGATTTGATGCATTTATTTCCCTGGAGGGGTCACCTGTTTAAACCAATTTCACCAATATACAGTAGGGTGATGTCTGTTAGTCAGTCAGTATACATTAAAATTACATAATGATGCTTGATGTTGCAGTTTGTGCTGTCATGATGTCGGTAAAATGTACTCATGCCATGAATTATGGGAAGAATTATGCACTTCAAAAGAAAGAAAGAAAAATGTTTTTACTCTTAATTTTGGTTTTATCTACCATTGAAACAGAACACTTTTGGGGACCCTGCACAAGTACATCTAGTTGTATAGATTATATTATTTCATTGTGAAAACTGTTGAATGAAATTGTATGAAACTTTTTCAGAATAACTTTTTTAAGGTTATGTAACTTCTGCAAATAATATATTTTTATGCGATATTTATATCAATTTGTAGCTCTGAAAATTTGAAATTATTGAATTAAAATATTCTTTTTTAAAAGAAGCAATTAAAAATGCTTCTTTCTCACGGATTTTAGCTACTGATATTGTTATATCTTCCTACATTCTTTTATAATGTTCTTATAAAGTTTGTATCGTATGAAATTGTAAAGTTTATCTTTGTATTGATTCAGAAAAAAGACAGTTTTAGTTTGATGTCACTTTTTTACCATAACAAAATTATAGACAAATCAACTGTATTTTTAAAAATGTTAATCAGAAGGTTTTATTTATTGTATATAATCAGTTTTAAGTAATTTTATATTCACATATGTATTTCTTACACTTCCTGTCAGTGATTTTTTTTTGCCCATTCAAGCAGTTATTTAGGCCAATGAAACCTAATGTAGATGAAGCTCCGTCAGCAAAACAAATTTATATGGCCAAGTATGTAATTAGTTAATTAAACTTGTCTCATCTTATTCCATGAAAAATATTTGTTTTCTTATTATATTGCAGCTATCTTAAATCGAGGTATTAGGACTGTAATTATGGTGGAAGTTGTTCACAAACATCTTTCCTTCTAGTAACATATAACCAACCTAAGTTTTTGTCACTTTGTTCAAATTCTGCTGAACTGGAAGCTACATTGGCTTACACCATTGGAAAGAAAAAAAAGAGCTTTCATAATGTGTTTAAATCATTAGCCTATGACTTCTCAAGGCTGAGATATAAGTAGTTACATAACACCATTACAACTCCAGCTGAAAAACAGTGATTGGTTAAAAATCAATAAACTACACTTGTTTAAGGTACAAAGTAAAATTAGTACTATTTTCTGTTTTTATGGGATTATGGGTGTTGTATTGTGCTAAGAAAAATTTGCATATGCTTATTATTTTGTTAAAAACATGCTGAAATAATTTGCAAAATCAAAATTTTTAATTTATTAAGTTTATGTGTATAAAATTAAATAACGTTTTCACTGATTAAGTTTCAACTCTGAAGTGTTTTTAGTTTTTGATATGTGGAAGAATGTCTTCAACTTTATTTTCTATAATTTTCTTAATTCAGTGGTGCAGTTGTATCCTTGAGGATGCACCCATTCAGGTGTGATAAAAGTTAATTTATGTATTGCAGACTAGAAATAGATGATATTGTAGAACACTTCATTTTGTACTTTATTTCTTGTGCCCAAATTAAGTTACCTTAGCCTACTGTATTTATAATGCACTATTTAGTTTTTAACTGCCTTCTTTTCTCAGTTTACATCTTTTGCCTGAAAGTACACTTATATGTTGCCACCTAGTCTTATTAAATTTAATGAATTCATTTTAATGTTGGATGTAATTTTATATACGTTTTTGTAATACATTTTTTTAAGTTTGTCGATGATGATTATCTGACTTGTATTTTTTTAATCTGCTCATGAAGACCCAAAGCGACCTAAAGGAGTAGCAGTAATGCCCTGTACACCTCGTGTGGAAGGAGGATTATATTGGGGATATGCAGTCAGACTTGCTTGCAGTCTTGCAGCAGTTTTCACTGAATGTCCATATAAAGAAGGCTATGATTTAACTGTTGGAACTTCAGAAAGAGGGATGAGTGTAGATGAAGTTACCCTTTCACCTTTCAAGTGAGTTCATAACTGCTTTAAACTGTATGTCTATGAGCTAGTATCCTAAAGATTTTTAGCAAAATGTCTTGTGGAAATCAATACATACTAACATAAAAATGCATGTTGTTAGCTTATGTATGAGCAGTAAAATGTTTGTTATTATGATTAACAAAAACTGTACTGAAAGCTCATCCAGACAAACCAAAGATTTTTAAATATTGAAGTTGTAAACTACATATTAGAATTTTTAGCTCATACACCATTCTAAGAATAGTCGTATGGTCCTTATTCACCTATTGAGATGCCTTTTTATTAATTTATCACACACTTGTTTTTTGGATATATACACAACAATATGAACACAGACTTTTGTGTTATATAAAGTTCCATTTAAACCATAGAACATTTTTTTATATTGTGAAGAATTAGAATTGTGAAAAGTTTTTCATTCTAATATTGCCAGTTTTTTTTATTTAGCAACTTAGAGTGAATGAGTTTATATTGTTGTTGTTTTTTCCTGAGTGTTGTATACAACAAAAATGTAACAATATATTAATATATTCATAACATCAACTTACAGTACATATAGGAATTATGTGTAGTTGCTACTTCAAAACCTTTCTTAAACAATGCTATGAAACTTGCAATTAATGTTCCACTTATGTGCATGTAATTGTATGATAAAATTATCATTTCAGTATTGAACTAAATTTTATCACTTTAATTTAACCCTTTTCAGTCTATAGGGATGTTACCGTCATTCTTTGTTTTAGTCCCTTCTCAATTTGGAAAAGCTTAACAAAACTGCGTGATACTTAGAACAAACTATTTGTAGTTTCAAGCTCAAAACTTCATATAAATTGACTTAGTTTGTCGATCACTTTTTATATTATGAAATTTCCAAAACTTTGTTATGAGAAAGTTTTTTGTAAAAAAATTAATAATACTTCATTTCATTTTTGTTTATTTTTAATCAAAAAGTTCTGTTTTATTGATTTATTAACATTAAAAAATTATTTATTTATTTATTTTTTGCCAATTGCAGTAATCACCATTTTTGGTTTTAAATTATAAAAACTGCATAAAATAACAAAGATATTTCAGAGATGAATCCATGATAAATCTGTCAGTTTTGTCATATTTTTTTATGATTTATAACTACAAGTGATGATTACTTCAGTTAGCAAAATAAAAATAAATAAATTTCACTCAAGATGAAATTGACAGAATACATCAACCGCAACTTTCTGACTAACAATGAAAAATCAGCTTCAGAAGGTTACACTTGCACTATCAGCTTCAGAAGGTCACACTTGCACTATCAGCTTTAGAAGGTTACACTTGCACTATCAGCTTCTGAAGCTGATAGTGCAAGTGTAACCTTCTAAAGCTGATAGTGCAAGTGTAACCATAGTGCAAGTGTAACCTTCTGAAGCTGATAGTGCAAGTGTAACCTTCTGAAGCTGATAGTGCAAGTGTAACCTTCTCAGCTTTAGAAGGTTACACTTGCATTATCAGCTTCACATATGCTGGCCTGGGTTTTTGGATTTGAAGTCCTCTTTCTTTTCTGATTCCTGGGCCTGATGTGAAAACAGTAGAGACCCTCCTCTTTCCATAGTGGAGATGTTCCATTCACATTGCTACCAGATATTGGACTGGAGTTGACCCACCGATTATGGTATGATGAGCCCTAATCACTCTACACTATTTGCTCATCCAATTTCTTGGATGTGCTTCATTCTGCTTCTTTTAATGACACATTTCTTCACTATAGCTGTGGTTCACATTTCCATCTATTGAGGTTTCACATTCCATGAGTTTTTTTTGGATGCTTTCTGAAGGGTGCTCTTCTAAGTAAATTTTCACCAGTCCCTCCACCTTTTCAATGTGGAACTCTAGCTTTTATGTGTGAAGAGGTTAAGGTATCATTTCAGAAGATAACATTTTCCTACACTGAAAATGTATTTCCTATAGATACTTACCTCATCTCACACTTCCCATCCATCCTCCCCAATTATGGTGCTTTCTTTTTGCCTAATATCAAAGTGAATATTGGGTTCTACAGTATACAGGAAGTCAGCTGCACTAGGAGGGTGTGTTGCACTCTTATTGGTGGAGGATTGTTGCATGTTAGTTTTCTTACAACAGTGCAGCTGTATTAAGTGCAAATGCATAGTGATAGGTGGGAATGCAAGGCTAGAGGAAGCAAAAAATTGCACATATATAGAGGACAGTAAACATCAAGAAAAGCTATTATGTGAGATGAGGTAAGTATCTACTGGAAATACATTTTCAATGTAAGAAAATGTTAATTTTCACATTGGAATATGATAGGAAACTAAATCAAGTTGTAGGAATTTTTTAAACATAAACTTGATATAATTAAGTAGCTTCTTGTTGAGTTTCATAAGCTTTATTTAGTTTATCTACTGTGAGAAGGAAAAAAAACAGTCAATATCTGTTACATATCTCTGGTCCTGAAAGGGCTAATTCTTCAGGTACAAACTACAGAGTTACCACTGAAAACTTAATAGACAAGTTAGGGTTTTTTCACTTAGTCTGCGTAGGACATTTGTTTTATACTATACTCTTTAATACAGTTTTTTGTTGTTGATACTGTTACACAAGTTTTATGATGCATTCCTTCCCAAGTTCTAAGTTTTACAGTTATTAATTTCAGCTTCTTTTATTTACTTCAATTGTGAGTTTGTCTATATCCGACTACATAACATCACTCTTATACTTAAGCAGAATTGATTTTTTTATATGTAATAAAATTGTATTTTTGTACAACTGTACATTTTCTTTGCTTGCTGTTTTGTTATTTGTAGAATGTTCCATGTATATGATAAAATTTATCTGTGGTATTATGATAACGTTGAAAGATTCTTACCCTAAATCATATGTTAATATTTTATTGATTGTAATTAAAACATCCCTAGTATTTTTACCTACAAAATTGTTCTAGTTCTTGACTAAATAAAAGGAGTGGTACGTGGGATTTTTTGAATTTGAGAACAAAAAAAAAATGTGATCAATCTTAAAAGTACTAAGAAAATGTTTTATTTCTTTAAATAAAATAGTATTATAATAAGGTGAGACTTGAAGTTTTTATTCTTGGTGGTGTGTGTGTTATTGAGAAAATTTGATGCAAGTCCAACAACAGTTTTTTTATATGTTTTTAGACACATGCTTGTTGTTTTTGGTGGCTTGAACGGCCTAGAAGCATGTCTGGATTCTCATGAGTCCTTGGAAATTGATGATCCAAAATTTTTATTCAGTTACTACCTAAACACGTGCCCTAACCAAGGATCTCGGACAATCCGCACTGAAGTAAGTAGCTTTTGGTATCTGAAACACATTTAATTTCAAAAGAGTTCAAAGAAGTCTAAAAATTTGCAAAATCCATTCTTTATTATAATAGGTTTTTTTATCTATTATTTGAGCTCGGTCAACTTAAGTCTTGTATGGTATCACGAACAAGGATGAAATTTTATTGCACCTCAAGCATTTCTTTTAGCATTCAACATTTTTTATCAGACTTGTATTTAGAATTATGTGAAAATACTGGTTTGTATTTATCTGTTACACTTATTAATGTTTTTTACTTAAAAATTTGTATATACAACATTTTGAATAATACTACGTGATCGTAAGGTCTCATCAGCAGAGAGAATATTTTATAAGTATTTAGTTCAAATATGTACGATTGTACATATAAAAGTACATTCTTTTTCCTGAAATGGAGTTCAGTTTCTTTGAGCACAAACCATCCAGCTCACTATGTTAGCAGGAAAGTTCATTAACTAATTAACAAATTATATAGTAAAAAACTTTACCGTAATAGATCGCTGATGTTCTGGCTTGATTTGTAAATCCAATATGTGTGCATACTGTCAGGCAAAGATGAGAGACAATAGATGCTCATTGACATCCAAGGAAACCGACTGCAGCAGTTGTACATACCAAGTAAATTTACAAAAAATATATGAGTTTCAAGAAGGAGATTTCTAAGTTGTTACCCTGAGGTAAAATTGCAATTCAACCATATGATACAATGCCTGATTTGCATATTTTCCCTAAGTAAATCTTTAAGACTTGAAGAGGCTAATCTTCTAATGCCCAGCAGCTATGTTTCACTCAGGACCTGCTATTAATGAGAAATCATAAGTGTATATCTGAAAGGGGCAGGAAGAACTTGTATTATTATTTTTTCATGTTGCTATTATTTTATCAGTAGCCATTTCCAGTTAGTATATAAGGATTCCACTTTTTGAAATATTAATTATGTATGTTTTTATTTTGAAAAATAATGTAAAAATCTACATATGTTTATATTTTATCATACCTGATATAAAACAAGGGCACTGCAAATGCAAGCATTTTTGATTTGCTCATAATTCCAATTCTATCATCAAATGGCTTTCAACCATAGTTCTCTTCTCTACTTTTCAAACACTGAGTTTCCAGAAGGAGTGCAATAGAAGGACAAATATTCTGTTCTCACAGTCGACAGGATAACAAGACTGCTGTTATTTATTGAAAAAGAACTCATCAAAAAGTACTGCCTGCTAATATTTATTCTAATTTCTGTTGCCTGACAGTTTGTAAGATATCTTTCTGAGTAGTTATATAGTGACAAAGTGATTGAAACTTATTATTTAGAAAAGGCTTAGCTGTAATGGTTAAGCATTAGATTTTCCCTATGAAGTTTAAGCCCTTGGTTATGTCATGGTGTGTGTTAGATACAATATGTATAACTTTACTGTTGGTTCCATGTTTGAGTGCTTAGTGAAAACCGTTGTACTATAGTTGAGTGCCAATATGAAAAATCTTTTCTAGATATTATTGCACAGTCTTAAAAATTATTAAAAGTTAATAGATTTATAACATACAGTACTTGGGTAAAACAAAATTAGTTATAAACTTTATGTATTTATTGATAAATACAGTACATGTAAATACACAGTAATAATTTGGTTAAGAAATGTACAACAATCCTTAATGATACATTTGTAATCCAAAAACATATCTATACGAGTTCCTCACTTGGCACTTTCTTGTCACGTTCATTACACTTTATGTACTGTATAGGGCTTTAACACTCCTTAAGTATTTGTAAATACTTTCCTTATAAAATGTTATAAAGTTTATTTAAATGTACAAAGTTATTAAAACAGTTTACCTATTATTCACAGTTGCTATTTACTATTCTAGTTGATATAACATATTTATCACTTCCCTCCACTAATCTTCAGAATTACCTGCATATGTTCAAGGATGCATTCATAAAATTCTCAAAACCAGACATAAGCATGATGGAGCCAAGTGTTGTTCTGTAATTAGTCAAATACATTCTTTTCTTCACTTAAGCAAATACTTCATATTTGTGATGCAATGATTCTTTATCTGGAGCGGGCTGGGCATGACCTAGTTGGTAGTGTGCTCACACTGGGAGTCCAAGGGTTTATTATGTCCTGTTGCCACAAAAACACACCCCGTAGTTTGGGGCTGTCGGTATATTATAAGAGTGACAGTTAAGTCTTTGGTTAGACAGGGGTAGCTCAAGAGTTGGCAGTGAGTTCTTTTGACTAGTTGCCTCCCCTTTAATTAATTAATTCAAAATTAAGGATGGTTACAGGCAGAAAGGTATATTTGCATAAAAATTTTGAAACGAAAATAAATAATTTTTATCCTCTTTTTAAATATCTAAAGCTTTTCAATTCATCTGGAACATTCTTTTTTGTTTTATCTGATATCCATAAAGCTTCTTTTTGAATGGTTAATTGGGATTATTCATTAGAAATCTGGAAATTCTTCAACTTCAGGTTAGTTTGGTTAATTTTGGATTCTGCAATAAATTAGTCCATTTTTTTTTTTCATTGAATAACTTATTTACTTTCTGTTTTATTTCAGTTTTATGTTTTTGTTTTAAGTAATTTATTTTCTCAGCTTTTGCATTTTCTCCAATACTGGTAAGAGAGTGAAAGTTCACAGTATTGGAATTTTAAACCTAAATGGCCCTATAAATACACATGGAATAAATGGCCAAGTCAGAGACTATTCTAGGTTTGGGTATAGCCACCATAATTTTGAGAGAAGCTAACCAATCAGTGGTATCTGCTGCCATGAGGCTTTATTGAATTTTCAACCAACTAATGGGATTAACTGTCACACTTATAACACAACCACAGGTGAAAGCGAGACTGTGATGCAAACTTTCTGATTTGCAGTCTACCACACTTATTGTTAGGCTACTCCTGGCCTGGTGTTGGCAGGTATAATTCTTAAAAATACATTAATAGATGAAAAACTGTCTTACTGTATTTTATTGCCTATTTAGGATACTTATAACTTAACACATTGCGTACTGCTGTTAAGAGATACTGATGTTTATTTCTTTTATCTAATTGAAATATATTTTTTTATCTAGCTTACTTATAACTGTTAATGTTAAAGAGGTTAGAGACATTTTTGGACTGATATAAGAAAACGTATAGTATTCATATGAAGACAATTTTTTAAAAAGCTTGGTGTTCGAGACAAGTTCCGTATCATAAGCTAAAAAAATTGCCATAAATAAAGTAAAAGATGGAGATATGCACCTAATGAGAATGGAATTGTGATGTGTCAAATGAAACGATGTTAAATTAGTTGTAATCCTAAGATGTATTTCCTTTTGAATAGATATGCTAGACTACTGCAATAGTATCTTTATTGTAAAACTAATTAATATATCTTCTTCCCTTACAGGAAGCCATTCTTATAAGTTTAGCTGCAATAAGACCAAAAATATTGGAAGTTCAAGGAAGGTGAAGATAGTCTCTGTATTGTAAAATGGAAGTAAATTTATAATAGGGAAAAACCTTAAATTTTGATTTCTCTTTGTCAGTATCACAGTTATAAGTAACATTAATTAACATGTCTTCACTTGTTAACAACCGATTTCTTGGTTTTCTCAAGCTGATTAGCACATATTTTTCATTATTATTTTTGATAGAAACTATTTCTCATAACATAAAAAGCCTGAATATCAGGTAATAAACAATTAGCAGGTTGTTTTGATTAAAAAAATAAAATATAGATCATTTCACCTCCATGATTCATTGTTTATAATATGTGCTTGAGACGGTAGCAACATTATTTATACCAATATTGAACTTTTTTTTCGTGGCTTCATGTGGATGGTAGGACAGCTTACATGTGTGCCATTCATAGGCAGTAGCAAGAGAGAAAATTGAAATGGTTGTTTAACTGATAAGAATGAGAAATTAAAAAAGATGGGGATTTTAGAATCACTTTGGACCTACCCAAGAACCTCTTAAAGTTTTGTGGTGATAAGAGATCAGGATGTTGGAAATTTTTAGTTATAGACAGAAAAGCTGCTTTATAGTACACATTATTTTAGAATCTTGCACTAAGAAATTTGTAATAGATGTTGTGTAAAAGTTATTCTTTCAGTCTTTTTTTTTTAATCAAAGGTGTATGTTAAAGAAATTGTTAAATATCAAGACTTTTCCTGCTTACTTAACTATAAATAGAAGTATATTGCTCGTGAGATTTTGAAGAAGTTTCTGAAACTTATTTTATTCAGTTTTTTTGAATCTTTAGTTTTAAATGTGGTCTACAAATTTATCATTTTAACTTGTGAAGTTTATTCAGTCAAACTGACATTATTGCAGTTTTGTTTTAATGATATATCCAATAGAAGTTGTTATTGCACATAAACAGCCAATTTACTGAAGTTATTTTGTTATGAAACTCAGAAGAATTATGTGGCATTAAAAAGAATGGAGTCATAGTTTCTCAAAGATTTATCTTTTGAAATAAAAGTCCTTGAAATAAAAACATATGTGATAATGGTATTCTCGTGCATTAAAATAATCTGTAAAATTAAACCTGACAAATATTCTTCTTGGGTGAATGGGCTGAGTGCTTAGTGTTTCAAACTGTGATCTGACCTTACATGATTTGTGACCAACTGCCCCACCCCCCCCCAAAAAAAAGAAATTGTGCTTCACAATTTAGGGCTGTGTTTCCATCATATAGATGATGCTTTTTTTTTATCCCATTATTTGGTTGGAGTATCCCACAAGTTAGTGGTGGATGGAATTGATGAACTGCCTTTCCTCTAGTTTATTACTTTAAAATTAGGGATAGATAGTCCTCAATTAGCTTTGCACAAAATTTGGCAAACAAACAAATACAAAACATATGTTGATATGAGCAACTTAATAATTATGTAATGTTATCTAGTATTGAAAAATGAAATATAATAAATTAATGCATTGAATGTATTTATTCTATGTATTTGAAAGAAAATTCCATTTAGGCTAGGCATTGACTAGTGATTAAAAGTTTGGTTGCTATCATGAAAGGTACACGATAAAGCTGTATCATTGGCCAAATGAGAAATGAAGATAAAGAAGGAAACTAATGGCCTAGTCATAGGTAATACAAAATTGAAGCCCCTCAGTGGCTCAGTAGTAAGTTTGAGGCCACAGCACAGATACCCTTAACAAGAAACACTCAGACTTGGAATGAAAAGCATTTATTGACCAGAGGTTTAAAATCCATTGATTTAAGTTTCATGAAATTGAAATCTAAGTTGAAGATCCTAGTGTTCAAGTTGAAGAAATAGGCAAGTTTTCAGTTACAGATTCAGTTAAATGTGTAAAATTATCATTACTTTATCTGTGTTATTTCTAGAGGTTTTTACATGAGAAATTATAATGCCTTGTTTAAAATATAAATGAAAGTTATAGGGGAAGCATTTTGCTAGAAGTTTTCAATATAGGCTGAAAAAGTTGAGAGTCTATAATTGGTGAGGTTATCAGCAGATTTATTTTTCTTTTAATAAAGGTTATTTGATCAGTTGTCTAGATAGTAGTGGTATAATCAGTGTAGTATTCTAAGAAACATTTGGCCAACAGATCAGTACCACAATAACAGGAGGTTCTGTATTTGTTAAATGAAGCTTCATAAGAAACAACTAAACCCTAAGGAATTACCAACACAATTTGTATAGCAGAAAAAAGTTTATTGACACTCATTCTTATCACCTTTGCAGTAGCTAATCCATGGCTTCCGAACATCAGTGATGACTTCTATTAGAAGTTCTGATCAGTTTAGCTTAGCTAGAATTGGGAACACATATGAAAAATATGTGGCTGAAATAGAATTTATTTCATTTCCAGATTTCACAAAATTCCTAGATCTCCTTACTGCAATTAAACTTGATCTGACTAATGGATATTAACTGCTATTAATATTAGTCTTCATTCTCATGAAATTTGCATTTGAATCAATCATTCTATTCAGTTGTGACAAAATTACATCACTCAATTCCCTGTTGATAGCTGAACTTCTGACCTTCTAAAGGTTGAGTATATCAAACACTTTCAATATTGACTTTTGCTGTGTACAAACATGGTCTTTAATACTGCTATAATAAAGTGACCATTCCTAACCTAATTCACTCACAGCTACCTGAAGTCTTGACAAGACTTTGGAGAAATTTTAACAGGGAAAGCAGTGAAACAATTACTATCATTTGTCACAGCCTGTCAGTTGTCAATATCAGTAATAATTATTACATTGACTTGCTAAACAAGATAATTTTCAAGGTGACTTCAGAAAGTTAGTATTGAAATATATTTTTGAATCTGGCTTAAAATCATTCTTGGAAGTTTTCAACTCCGAAAGGAAAAAGAAAGGTAATCTTAGGACTTGTACATGTACATAGCTCTTTAATACTTTAGTTGATTTTCAACATGTGACATCTGATCCATGTAGGTTTGTTTTAAAGTTAGCACCTGAGACCACCATGCTTCAGACTGGTCCACTACTTGCAACAAAGCAACCCCAACCAGCTGCTACTTTAGGTACATGGAATCTCTTTCTAGTGACCAGTTATTATGGCAGAGCCATAGCTCCTTTGGAAGAGTGACAATTGAGTTCCTGCAGAAACTTATGTTCTTTTGTTGATTACTTACACCTATTCAGTAGGTATATAAGTATTAGGTGCTTCTTCTGATTGTGAGATTCAAACAATTCAATGGTAATATTCCAATTCTGAGTTACCTTTGTTGTAAGTTTAAATACAATCAGTGCTTGATTATCACAGGAACAGATTGGTTTGCAGCTCTAGGACTTTGGAGCCACTTCGACCTTGAACTTTTTTTTTTTTTATTTACAAATTCATACAATATCATTGATGGGCTTCTAAAAATACTTTAGCCCATGGATCCACAGGGCTTTAATCTGAATATAACTTAAAATCAAGGTTACACCTTGTCTTTTTTTTTTCCCCTCTAAATAAAGTTATGTTTGTGTATCTCACACAAAATCAGCAATCAAGTTGCTATTCCACAGAACAAATACTAAGAAAATATTCACTTATGCATGTGAAGTTCAAAAACAGTTCAGTACTACAACTTACTTTAAATTGAACCTACCAGAAAATGCTTGGTAAACTGTGTTTTTAAAGAAGCCAGTAATCATAATTTTATTTCACTTAGACAAAATTGTAAAATCTAGAATGTTACAGTCATCCAGAACTAAACATACTTCTTCACCACTACCAATGAAATGAATGGATAAATAATTTTTTTTTTTCATTTGTTGTGGTGCTAATTATCAAGTATTGTCTCCATCAATGAAAAACCACACACTTATGAATTTTCAGTTTAGGATTAGACCAAACATTTTCTTTTCCACCAACAATTAAACACAAAATGCACTCTGTTTTCTTTCAGTATTACCTAAACTAATTATTGCAGTGTTTACTAAATGTATATGTATTTTAGTATTCAAACCAAATCCTTTAGTGCCTAAAAATGGTGTGAATTTGGGTTATAAACGAATCCACATGTTCCATAAAATAAAGATATAATGATATACACACATGTATCCCATACTAATCTTTATATCCAAAGTATGATGAAGTAATCCACTGACTGATATGCAGTAACTATGACAACCAACATCAGTATTTATACTAACTACAAACAGTGTAGCAAGATACAGTTACTGCACTGACATAAATGAACCAGCACAAATTTAACTTGAATAACTTTACAAATTTGAATGTAGTAATTGACAAAATTCAGTAGAAATGAGACCTCTCCATTTTTTTTACTACTTCTTGGGCTATTATTTGCTCTGTCAAATACAGTATACACTAATATACAAATAGACCAAGGTAAGTCAAAAATAAGGACAACAGCATTATGCATTTGCTGTTATAACTGACAGTCAACCTGCCACCATTTCTGAATTGGAAAAACCCGCTTCATCAATAATGTCAACAGAGGTCCATGGTTATAACCTTGACACATGAGCAGTTTGGGCATTATTATCAAAGGTTCTTGCTTCAACCTTGTGTTTTTAGCTGTTTCACACTGGCTGTGCTGAATAGTGTGTTCCAAATCAAGCACATGTTTTCCCAGAAGACCTGTGGTGGCCTAGACAACCCACATATACTTATGGAAAGGACTAGTAGTCACAAACCTCACCGTGATGTGCTCTTGTTTTCATTTTGCAGTTCTTCAGCTGTATCTTCTTTCTTTCTTGTGTGTGCTGGTGAATCCACCCAATATGAGGGATATGAGAACAGTGGTTAGTAAATACATGGATGCCTGTAGAAACCTTGCAAGATGGTCCCAGGGTGTTCAAGCTTAATTTCATCTCACCTATTTTATTGTTGAAACTTTGAAAAGACTTGTGCTGCTAGGGATGTGATAAATTGCATTTCACATTCTTGATTTGGAGACAGGTTATTAAACTCTGCATAACTTTCTGTATTTGTTGACTACAACCAGCATACAGAAGATTTTCCTGGTCATCACATCTAAACTT